GGTTGGTTGGGTGAGGGGGGAAGTGTGGGTGCGGGGGAGAAGGAGGGATAAGGGGGAGGGGATGAGAGAGGAGGTAGGAGGGAGGGGTAGGGGATAAGCAGGGGGTTAGGGGTTAAGGGTAAGGGAGAAAGGGTGGGGAAGGATAGGGAAAAAGAGGAATGGAAAGGGAGGGGGAGGGATAGTTAATGATAATGATTATGATAAAGTTATATTCCATTTTTGTCATGGATAAGGGAGAGGGATGGGGTGGGTTAGAGGAGGATAGAAGGTAGGGATAGTTGCGGGATAATTGGAAAAGGGAGGGACGAGGGGGAAGGAGGATAGAGAAAGAAGAAGAAGGGTAGAGAAGGAGGCAGAAGGATAGAGAAGGAGGAAGAAGGGTAGAGAAGGAGGGAGAAGGATAGAGAAGGAGGGAGAAGTGTAGAGAAGGAGGGAGAAGGAAAGAGAAGGAGGGAGAGGGATAGGGAAAGAGGAAGGATAGAGGAGAGGATGACGGAGAGAGGGTCGGATAAGGAATTGGGGAAGAGGAGAGAGAGACTGAATAAAAAAAGACGTAAAAGGGAGGTAGAGAAACAAGGAAGGAGGATAGGGAGATGCAGAGAGAAGGGAGAGGAGGCATCTATAATATAGAAAGAGAAACAAAGAAAGAAAGAAGGAAGGAAAGAAATAAGGAGGAAGAAAAGAAGGAAAAGAAAGAAGAAAGAGAAGGAGTGAAGAAAAAGAAACGAAAAAGAAAATTGATAAAAAAAACAAGAGAAAAGTTTAAAAAGGAAAAAGACAAAGAAAGTAAGATTTTTTGTGAAAAAGATAATGATATTGCTAATAGAGAACTGAAGATAATGAGATTTATGTTGATCATGATGGCACTGAAAATGATGATAATGATAATGATAATTATAATGATAATGATAATTATAATGATAATGATAATTATAATGATAATGAAATTTATAATGATCATGATAATTATGATGATCATGATGGTACTGGAAATGATGATAATGATAGTGAACGATTATGATAGAAATGATAGGATGATGAAAATTAACAAATTTGATAATAGTGTTTGTAATGACAATTGTTATATGATTGTAATAATGGTAATAATGATGATAAAGATTATGATTACCATAATGATGGTAAAGACAATAATGATATTGATATTGAAAATCTTTGAGGATGATAATGATGACATAATGATAACAATGATGATGATAATGATTTTTAAATGATGATTTTGATGATGATAATAATAGTAATTATGATTATGATGGCAGTGGTAGTGATGATTATGGTGATGATAATAATGATCATTATAATAATAGTAATGATGACCATGATAATAATAATAATAGATAATATAAATAAAGGTAACGATAATGATAATGGTAATAGTGATGATAATGATGCTAACGATAATAATAAAAACAACAAAATTAACAATACTAATAATAGTAATAGTAGAAGTAATAATAATAATAATAATGATAATAATAATAATAATAATAATAATAATATAATAATAATAATAATAATAATGAGGAAAATGATAGTAATAAGATTTTTTTTTAAATATGACAGTAATAATGATAATAATGAGGAGAATGATAGATTGTAATGAGAATTTTTAAGAATATAATACTAAAATAACAAACAACAACAACAATCATAATCATGAGAATAACAACACTAATCCATAACAGTTTACGTATATGACAAAGCTGGTAAAAAAAAATCATTCTCTCTTTTCTTCTCCCCCCCCCCCCCTTCCTTATACGGGGGGTGACGAAATCCAAAGGTTTACACTGGACCCGTCAAACAGCAACGCATAAGACCGGGTTGTTGCTGATCGCCGCCGCCGCCGACCTGTCCCAGCGGCGGCCGGGTGGAGGGGCATATCGGGGCGAAACGAGCGGAAGGGGGAAGGGTGGTTAGGGGTAGTTAGGCGTCTTCTAACTAGGTCTTTGGTAATTGGGGAGTGCTTGACTTTTTTTTCCTTTCTTTTCTTTCTTTTTGATGGTGGTGGTGGTGATGATAATGGTGATGATGTGATGATGATGAGGGAAGATAGGAGGAGGGGGAGAGAGGAGAGGGAGAAGGAGAAATAGAAAAGGGAAGAGGAGGAAGATGGTGATGAGTGATGGTAGTGATGATGATGATGAAGATGATGATGATGATGATTAGGAGGAGGAGGAGGAAGAGGAAGAAGAAAATAAACAGGCAAATCATGTTTTCAAAAAGAAAAAAGAAAAAGACAGAAAAAAAGGAAAGAAAAAAGAAAAGGGAAATTTTAAATAAAGTAAAAAAGAAGCAAGTTCAACCTCCGGGGTCCCTGATGAGGGGGAAAAAATCTTTGGGAGTCACAGCGCCTCGCAAAAAAGGAAGTCAGGTTCGCCTAATAGTAATTAGATTAGGATAATTAGTGAAGCGCTGGCTTAGAGGACGGGTTTTTCCTTTTTTTCTTTAAGGGGGGGCAGAGTAGGGTTGTTTTCCTGGGGTCGAGAATCTCTTGGTTGGAGTTTCTCTCTTCGCTTCTTTCTCTTTCTTTCTCTTTGCTCTTTCTTTCTCTTTTTCTGTCTTTCTGTCTTTCTGTCTTTCTGTCTTTCTGTCTTTCTCTCTTTCTCTCTCTCTCTCTCTCTCTCTCTCTCTCTCTCTCTCTCTCTCTCTCTCTCTCTCTCTCTCTCTCTCTCTCTCTCTCTCTCTCTCTCCTCTCTCTCCCTCTCTCTCCCTCTCTCTCCCTCTCCCTCTCCTCTCCCTCTCCCTCTCCCTCTCCCTCTCCTCTCCCTTTCCCTCTTCCTCTTCCTCTCCCTCTCCCTCTCCCTTTCCCTCTCCCTCTCCTCTCCCTCTCCCTCTCCCTCTCCCTCTCCCTCTCCCTCTCCCTCTCCCTCTCCCTCTCCCTCTCCCTTTCCCTCTTCCTCTTCCTCTCTCTCCCTCTCCCATACAATTAAACTAATTTGTAATCTTCCTCCACTCCTTATACACCTCAGTCTTATTCTATCCTTACCCCTCTATTTCTACCTTATTCCGTTTCCTTTCTTGCCCACCTCTTAATACAATTTTTACTCTTGTGCATCTCTCTTAATCCACTATTCTATCCATTATTCTAACATCTTTTCATCTTTTACTCTTATACACATCTCTCTTAATCCACTATTCTATCCATTATTCTAACATCTTTTCATCTTTTACTCTTATACACATCTCTCTTAATCCAATATTCTAACATCTTTTCATTCTTTCGCAGGACGACCCGCACCTCACAGAGACCACTCGAGACTGTCACAAATGGGTCTGGATCAAAGTGCAGACGCCACGGGTGCCATAGGAGGAACCGGGTCAGAGGCCGAGGAGGTAAGAGGGTAATGCAATGAGGGAGTTTAATTGGGACTCTGGGAATGGGTAGAGATATATTTTTTTTCTTACTTTTTTTGGGGGTGGGTGGGTTTGGTGGGGTGGGGTGGGGGTTGGGGGGTGGGGGGGGTGGGGTGGGGTGGAGGTCAATGGAGTGTGCTAAAAGGGTGGATTTTGATTCCTGCTGTTATTAGTTTTAATTGGTTTTTATTTTTTATTTAGTTAGTCATTTATTTATTTGTTTCATATATTTATTTTATTTATTATTATTATTATTATATATGTGTGTGTGTGTGTGTGTGTGTGTGTGTGTGTGTGTGTGTGTGAGGTGATGAGGAGTATGCTAATTGAGTGGTTTTGATGATCATTATTTTTTTGGGGAGAGGGGGTGGGGGGGGGAGCATGGAGAATGGGTTTCATTAGTGTGTTTGAATAATAGGAGGAATTATAATTGAATAGAGATGAAGAGAAAGATATCATTTGTCAGTAGACTATTTTTTTTAGTCTCTGTTCTCTCTGAATTCATTATTT